ATAATAAGCCTCTTATAGTTATAAGTTATAAGGCTTTATAGGTCTTATAGCTATTAAGGCTTTCTTATAGCCTATTACTATTTTATTACTTTTAAGACTATTATAAACTAATTAGTACTAAGCCTTTAAAGTATTACCCTTTAAAGGTATTATAATAAGCCTTTTATAGTTATAAGTTATAAGGCTTTATAGGTCTTATAGCTACTAAGGCTTCTTTATAGCTATAATCTTATAAAAGCCTAGGCCTTTATAAACTTATTACTATTCTATTACTTATAGGACTATTATAGTTAATTAGTATACTTAGTATTAATATAGTATTAGTATAGTATTAATATAGTATACTTAGTATTAGTATAGTACTAGTATAGTATACTTAGTATTAGTATAGTACTTAGTATATTTTAGCTAGTAGTCCCTTATATATCTTATAGCCTTTAAGATAAGATGCCTTTATTAAATATAGTTTATAATATAACTTTTATTTTTTATAAAATTTATTTATATAAGTTTTTAAGTTAAATTACCTTATAAGTAAAAAATAGAAAATATAATAATTATAAAGCCCTTAATATAATAGTAAGGCCCCCTATATAACTATAAGCTACCCTATACTTAGTATAATTATAAGCTACCTTATACTTAGTATAATTATAAGCTACTTTATACTTAGAAGAAAAAGGTAACTTATATATATTAATAGGTACTATTACCTTTATTAGTAAGTAAGAGAATTAAGCTACTATTATAGTATATTATAGTAGTTATAATAGTTACTACTTTTCCTTATAGTTATTATTTTATTCTTTATAGTTATTATTTTATTCTTTATAGTTATTATTTTATTCTTTATAGTTATTTCTAGTTATTTTTCTTAGTTAATATAGATTAAGTAGGAGTAATAATAGGTAGCTTTAAAGCTAGAAGAATAATCTCCTATTACCTAGTATATCTAGTACTTACCTATACTATATAACTAGATAGAAGTTATATAATATAATAACTTTACCTCTTACCCTATATATACCCTATTGGTATTAATAAGTACTACTAGTATTAGATATATAATAGCTAAGGATTTATAGTAAGTATAAATTATATAAAATAACTAATTAGCTATAAGATAAAGGAGTATTTAAAGTTAGCCTAAGGAAGAATTAGTTATAAGATTAGTAAGACCTATATATAAGTTAAGCCTAAATTAAGACCCTAAGTAAACCTATAGGAATAAGACTATCTTATATAAGTTTTAGTTAATATTTAAATAGTATTTAAACTCTAATCTAAAAGAATAGATTATTCTTCTTTTAGTTATTATAAAGTAAAAGGGATATTTCCTAGAAGGAAAAAAGGGATAAGCTTTAGTCTTAATAAGCAATATAACCTACCTTTTTCCTCCCTACCTTTTCTACCTAATCTAACCTAACTATTATACTTATTAAAAAGAGTAATAATTCTATTATCAATCTATTCTTATATTAAACTACTATTTATATTATAAAATATATACTTAAATAGTATATTATTATACTTTTTATAAAAAATAAAGTAAAATATAAATATATTATTTTATTTTTTTATAAAATACCTTTTTATATAAATAGTTATTTTTTATTATACTTTTTATATATAATTATTTCCTTTATTCTATATTAACTTATATTTAATAATTAAAAGGTATATTATATAAAATACTATTTTAATAAAAGAGTTTATCTTATTTATATTAATAATAAATATAAATAAGTAATAACCTTAAATATCTTAAGATATAGTATTATCTTATAACTTAAATTATATAGCTTAAGGCTAGGAAATAAGATATATAAATTAACTAGTTATCCTTTATAGCTTTATCTAATATAAGGCTGATTTTCCTTATAATCTTTACTTTCTATTATTCCTCTATAAGCTGTATTAGCTACGTTGCTATCTTATATAACCACATTGATGCTCCACAGTGCTTTAGGCACCACATCCACTCCACTCATCGCGTATTTGACTCCACCACCCTTCAACAGAACGCGGCACGATTCGCTTAACACTACTTTCCAACCTCTTCTCTGTTCTGTATGGTTTTTTTCTTTACATTGTATCGTGCGGTAGCGGGTCATGAATCGGTTTCGGTACGTTGCCGCCACCTTTTTCGTCGAGGGGGCCGAGGTCGTCTGGCCCAATCTCGTGCCTGTAGGTATATCGAACCAGATCATTGAGCCACCATAGAAACACCTTGCTCAAAGCCGATCTCGATCTTTTGGGTTCTTTCCATACGCCTGTTGGTGCCGTCCTGGTCGATTTGCTCGCCAATTCAACCACCAAAAGAAGGCATGTGCAGGCAGTGATGGCAGCAAAGCACCCTGTCAAAAAGACTGGCGCTGAGGAAAGGCAATGGGTGCGTAGCTGAACTGCTTCGCATACGACTGATGCAAACAGGAAGATGGTGATTGCGTCCGACGGCCCGTCCATGCGAGCGTGCGCCATCCGCGAGCACAAGATCAGGACCGCCGCCGACATCGTGGCCAGGGCCGCCGCGAGCAGACTGTACCGGCCGCCATGGTGACTGTTTACAATCTGCCCGGTCAAATACGCGCCGTGCAGCCCAAACAGAGCGAGCGCGGAGAGCGTCTTCGCCAGCAGGAGGAAGGGTGCGCGGACGCGACCAGACGTCTTGGTCAGCTTGGTGATGCGTGCTGCGGCAAGAATGATGAAGAACGCATTGGGCGCGATGGAGAGAGCCAGCTGCTCGAATGTCTTGGTAAAGTCAAAGTCGTCGCGGCAGCCGACCACGAACGGGCCGAATTTGTCATCGTTGAGGCAATTCATGGTTTGCACCCGTTTGCCCCTGCACCGCGAATGTCTCAGATGCGTCAGTCGAGTTCCTCGCGTACAGATAGATGACTGCTCGCTTAACTGGGTCTCAAAATTAAAGGAATGACATGGGATTTAATACTAGTACATTGATTGAAGAGCATACGTAACGAGTTCAGCGCCTGCCATGACGAAAAAGTGTTGCGGCCTGATGGCGACAATAGTAATTCGTGCCATGCCAATATGTCCCCCTTGCAATGAGGCTGGCAGGCAGCAAGGCTATCGCGTATTACCAGGGAAGCGGGGGCTAATCAAAAACATCACTTGTGTATAAAGCGAAGAAACATTAGTGACGAACAAAAAAGAAATGAAGGGCAAAATTTTCAATAATGAAAGAGGGCTCGGACCATCGGTTTGTTTTCTACCTAGTTACCCCATGAGCCAGAAGCTCCAGAATCCGAACTTTGGCGGAGGTACATATGTCACGTCAAGAAGCAGATGTCGACTTCAATTTCGGAGGTCAGTATCACTTATCTACATAAAGTTACATGCGATAGACGAATAACCGCATACCCCTCCTACGAGCTTATGGACGGCTAGGATATCACAAGCGGGCAAAGAATTCGCACGGTGTAGTTTCGACAATGAAATTACAATGTTCTAGTTTAGTATGATACAGGAAGCTAGCTGCATTTTTTGTGGCAGATTCTCAAAATGAATTGTAAGCGATGTAAATTGTTGTTCCATCTTGCACAGCGGCTCAATAGCAAACGACCCACGGGTCACAAACAGCTTGGACGTGGTAATTGTTGTAGTCTGGGAAAGTTCCCTTCATGGCCTCCAGGATGGGATCAAAAAAGGTAGCATCGAATCTAGTAGTCTCGCAAGACGAGCATGGGTTCGCAAGGAAGGTGTCGTACTTGGTAGTATATGACAGGCGGCCAAGCACTTTTTGAGCAGCAACATCTGTTGCAGTGAGAGACAGTGACTCGGGCATGACAACCCAGCTGGGGGTCGTCGGCATAGTTCCGTTTGTCGAGACATTAGTGCCGGGGATGATGGGATTCTGGTTGAACCAGAGGCTGTTCGCACCAACATCTCGTAGGGCCTTGATAAGCTGGAGAGTCATGTGCGTGTCCGAGTCAATCTGAATACCAGAGCACTCGAAAGTCATGGTGTATCCATCACCACGGAATGGGCCGCCAACACAATTGCCAGTGATCTGATCCCAAACGAAATTGTTGATGAAAGTGTCCCAGTTGTTGGGCCAGTTGATGAATCGAGGGCTCAGAGCAGCATCAACGCTGAGCATTCTGCTAGCGGAGGATTCTGTGGGAGCAGGCTGCTGGGTAAAGTCGGTTGTGCTTGGGATAGTGGTAGATGGGGCAGTCGAAGTGGGAGTCATGTCAGAGGGACGATCAGGTGAGGAGTTGTTGTTGTCACAAACAAAGGCAGACCAGCAAAGTGCATCGTGGTTGACCGTTTTGTTGAGGGCGGCACTGATAGGTCTTCCGTGATACGACCAGCAGTTTAACGTCTCGCCATCCTTGTGGACAGCATTGCCAGCCTTGAAACCCTCGGGAGTCTGCTCTTCGACGTAGACGCTCCAGACATCGCCGTTGGGCATTGTCTCGGTAGCTCCAGTTGGGTTCCAGGGATACACGCCATTGCCAAAGGGAACCTCGACAGCCATCTCGGGTGCTGCGGGGTATTTGTTGGCCGAATCAGGCCAGACAAGTGACTTGTACCAGTTCATCTGGCGAGAGGTTGACCATGATAGATGATCTTTGTTGTCACCGATGCCACAGTCACAGAGGATCAAGGTCCCATTGTCGGTCTTTTGAGCTTGGCTTAGGGATGCGAGGCCATTGAGAATGGCAATTGCCGTGGAAAATTTGAGCATTGTGATTCTGTAAATAGTTCATTAGTGGGGGGTTGTTTGCACTTAGAAAGGTGAGTATTACCGTTGCAAGGACCCGTAGGTGTGTTGTGGATGGATGTTTGCTTGGTGACAGCAGCGGGAGTGCAGATGGCGGTTTGGAACTGAGGGGGGGAGAAAGAGTTGAAGATGGGAAGATGTAGAGATTTGTTTGAGGAGGGGACAGAACTATTAAATGGCCCAGGAAATGTTGAGGTCGCCAGCTGGCAAAGCGTTGTCTGCCAGCTGCCAACAGCCGTCAAGCTCGCTTGGATGCCAGCCGTCAAACATCATCGGCCACTCAGATTGCAAAACACTCCGATACAGCTCTCAACAAATAATTTAGCAGTGTTTCGTTGATGTTCAATCCGACATCATTAGAAAGTCAATGACGATATCTCCCTGCCTAGGTAGGTAGGTAGATACTTCATGGCCACTAGTCGGTGGCGGGTGTTGGGATCGTGGAAGTCAGCGCAGTTGTAAACACACGTAGAGTCAAGTTGGGGTCCTCAGCTAGTCACAGTTACGCTGCTAGCTTCCACATCGCCCTCAATAGAGCAGATTGTAGGAGAACAACAAAGGAAACAATTTAGCACTCATTTTGCCCGTTTTACCACAACCTGCGTGCTGCTGTTGGCTTCCATTAGCATCTTGGTGGAGCTGTAGGGTACAACACACTGTGGCGTGACAACGACGCACACACTAGTACATGCCAAATGATCGTCCTTCTTCATCACGACTGCAGTCAGGAGTACTACCTCGACGCGCAGCGACTATGCTTCGACGCCACTTCATCTCACAGCGACAAACCACAGTACGGCGACCGGCGCTCAGCAGACCAGCCAGGCAGCCGCCATCGGGACGCGTTCAATCCACCCAAAGTTCTGGCACCTCCAAGATCGATCGCATCACCTCGAAGCTCCCGCGCCGACTACAAAAATACACACAGGGCCTGCGCAATGCACCTGTTTCCCACGTCGTCTCATTCATCATTCTGCATGAGCTCACAGCAATCGTACCCCTCTTCGCACTCTTTGCCTTATTTCATTACACGACGTACGTGCCGCTGACGTATGTGACGGAGCATTTTGGGAGCTATGTCGAGGCGGGCGTGACGCGGTTCGAAAAATATTTCCGTCGAAAAGGCTGGTTTGGATTTGGGGAGGGCAATTCTGGAAATAACGAAAACGCGGATCCAGAGCGAGGGGAGCAGCCACAGGACGCTGTGAGCAAATGGCAGACTGGCGACCCCAAGTATAAAATCTTGGTGGAGGTATCTTTGGCCTACGCCATAACTAAAGCACTTCTTCCGCTAAGAATTATTGGGAGCGTGTGGGCTACACCTTGGTTTGCTGGTGTTCTTGCCAGTCTACGCAAAGTTGTACTAAGGAAGTAGTGGCGTCACAGTATAGTAGGTAGCGAGTACTTGATATCAAGGAAGCTAGTTACTTTTGTATTTTGTTTATCGTTGAACTCGGCAGTGATTTAGAGACATCGGAGATTGTCTAGTACATTACTCGAAGTTGAGCAGAGCCACAAGCTTAGGCCTTCTCGTAGACCCAGTCGAACTGGGCAGGCTTCCAGCTGATGAGGTCCTCCTTCTTGAACCAGAGAGCAATCTCCTTCTGGGCGTTCTCGACGGAGTCGGAGCCGTGGCAGACGTTGCGGCCAACGTCGATGGCAAAGTCACCACGGATGGTGCCAGGAGCGGAGGCAAGGGGGTTGGTGGCACCGAGGATGGCTGGCAAACGTTAGTCGGTGAAGCTTGGCGGATGATGCGGGGGTACTTACCACGGCCGGTCTTGACGGCGTCACGGCCCTCCCAGACCATGGCACAGATGGGACCAGAGCCCATGTCTGGAATGATGTTAGTGGGATTCGGAACAGCGGGGTCTGTCTCTCGTACACTGGATCAGACCGGGGAAGAAAGACTTCTCCTTGAGGTCGGCGTCTGGGATCATGTTAGCATCATAGACGGGTGCTACTGTCGCTCTTGAGGACTTGCAGTGAGTCTCGAGATGCTCCTTGGTGGGGGAGACCAGCTTGATGGCGACGAGCTTGAAGCTATTCGTGTCGTTAGAGGTTTTAGTATTGTGTCGCGGGGTAAGGACGACCTACCCTCGGTTCTCGAAGCGGGAGACAATAGGGCCGACAAGGCCACGCTTTTTCTCTTGTTAGACATTGTTTCAACGAAAGATTGGGGTAGACTGTAACATACCTGGACGCCATCAGGCTTGATAGCAATGAAGCTATTGCGGTGTTAAAATAAATTGGTGCCGACATGGAGGGGTAATGGCGGGGTTGGTGCTCACGTCTGCTCGTTAGACATTTTGGCGGTGGAATCGGGGGATGCCCTGGGAAAAGAAGCTTGTATGGAAGGAATTTGGGTTTCTGCGACGATGGGTACAGACTCAGACTGTTTGTTTCGGATTGGAAAGAGGACGAGGCAAAATCCAAGCAAGAGAAAAGGTAGAAGAAAAACCGGTGGGGGCAGGGTTACGGTGAGAGGCTGCCACAGTGGGCGGTTCACGCCGTGCACCTGTTTGGTGCTGGTGGTGCTTGGAGCGGGGTGCTCATCGCGACCCTCTTGCATCGTGTGTACAGTGCTAGATATTTTTTCCAACACTCACTCACGTTTGCAGACAGCGATTGGAGGATGGAGCTCTCACCATGTGGTTGTTACGCTATGTCGATGATACTTGGGGGACGGCCAATTGAGAGCACTGGTTATTAGACAGAATACGAAACATTGATTGCGAGAGGAAACTGGCATGTATCGTCAAACAAGATCCTGCCTGGAATCAAAGCCCCTGTCAGCACATGGTAAGTCCTCGCAACAGGTACCTAGGTACATAGCTCTTGCACAGTGCGACGTGCGACGAGAGTAGCTGAGCTGGAGGTTGGCAGTGCTTTAAACGGTGTAACCATTCCAACGGGGTTCTGGTTTAACAGTGAATTGGGATTAACGGGGATACGACGGCAATTAGTTTTCTGCCTTGAAAACCAGGCACACGTTTGCTCTGGCCCTACGACATTTGGCAGCGCCACAAAATAATATCACACTCGGTCGTATGGGAAGGACGAACATGATATTACGACTCCGCGTAATGAAATGAGCGCAATATATGATCGCTCTGCATGCCGATACATATGGCCACGGAACTCGATAGACGCCGCGCCCGCCGCATACAATGATCTCCGCGACACAATGTATCTCGCGATGGTGGTCTCGATGGGCTCTGGCGATGGCCCCCGCGATAGATAGCGCCCCTTAGCCAGGGCCCTCAGCCTCGAAGGGCAGGCAATACGAGGAGGCGGGCCTAGGCCTCTTATACCCCGACGGGATGAACATGGTGCCCGCGGAGGGTCCCGGCAGGTGCCTGGTTTTTGCATTTATCAACTCCCGTCCCCGCTGCGCTGATCACAAAGTGGACATACATATGTACTTGCCGCCCAACAGCCCAGCCTTCCTCGTACCCGAACTATTGAGAGACTAGCGACAGGGCATGATCGTGCGCGGTGTCAGGTCTCAAGGAAAAACAAAAGAGAGTCAGGGCGCGAAAAGGAAATACCGAGGACATGACCGGGGGGGAAACGCGGTACCATGGCGGTCCAAGCAGCGAATAGGAGAAGAAACCACGACGAGACATAAAGAGACAAAAGGAAAAAAACCAGGAAAAATAAAAAAAGAGACCAGCCGAAAAAGAAAAGAGCCGTGGCAAAAACGGTCAGTGGTACCAAAAATAAGTCCGGCATTGGCCGTGCCCACACACCCGGGCCAGGGTCCGGTGTGATGTGCCGGAAGCACACCTTGTTCAGAGTCGCCAAGTTGACAGGTGATAGGCCTAGTGCGAGGCTGCCCTCGCGCACGGACTGATTGCGCAGGAACAAACATAAGAGCCATGTTTCACGGTAATATTCGACTGCAGACTTGTAATTTACACCCAGTTGTGGCGTTTTGATCTGTCTGACCTGTCATGACTGAACAGGCGAACAGGATGCACCTGGTCCTCGGCACCCGGAAAGGGGCGTTTTCCCCGACAAGGGCCTCTCGCGAGCTTCCGCGCATGTTAAAAGGAACCGAAATCCCACTCCCTCGGTAGCGATGTTGTTTCATTCCCAGTGCAGCCTTCAGTATCGTTGTCTTTGTTTCTTTCTTTTTGCAACTTTTGTTGCCACACTCACTCGTTAACTCGCTCCCTTGGTCTGCTCTTCGTCTGTTCAGTCACTCGTTTCACGATACAGATACGTCTAAACTATAATGAAGATCACTGCTACTCGCGCCGCCCTTGGCGCTGCCGTCATTGGACGTGCTGCTGTAAGTCGGACTCGCGACCCCGACTTATACCCCCTGCGTTCATGCACTAACACAACACCAGGCCACTGGGCTAATTAATCTTCCCATCAACCTTTGCCTCGGTGCCCTTCTTGGCAAGGCCGACTGCAACCAACAGTCATCTTCGAACGGTGGACTTGTTTCCGTCCCCATCAGCGCTTGCGCTGGAGTCCTCGGTGATGCCACCTGCAAGCAGGTTCACAATGATAACAAAGGCAGCCCCGACAGCCTGATCAGCGTTCCCATTAGTATCTGCCTTTCTATTCTTGGAGATGTTCAGTGCAACCAGAAGGCCAAGTCCAGCGGTGGTCTTGTGTCTGTGCCCGTCAACGCTTGCGTCGCCGTCATTGGTAAGACCAAGTGCGACGAGTCTGCTGGTGGCGGCGACAAGAGCGGCTCCGGCGGCCTGATCAGCATCCCCATCAACGCCTGCGCTGGTATCATTGGCAAGGCTGAGTGTGACCAGAAGGCCAAGTCTGGCGGCGGCCTCGTTTCTGTCCCCCTTAACGCTTGCGTCGGTGTCCTTGGTGAGGCCAAGTGCAAGCAGACCGCTGGTGGCAGTGACACCAGTCTTATCAGCGTCCCCGTCAACGTCTGCGCCGGTATTCTTGGTAAGGCTGAGTGCGACCAGAAGGCCAAGTCCGGTGGCGGCCTTGTTTCTGTCCCCGTCAACGCTTGCATTGCCGTCCTCGGCAAGGCCAAGTGCGACCAACAAGCCGCCGGTGGCGACCATAGCCTCGTCAGCATCCCCGTCAATGCCTGCGTTGCTGTCCTGGGCGAAGCCGAGTGCAAGCAGAAGGCTAGCTCCGGCGGCCTGATCTCTGTCCCCGTCAACGCTTGCGTTGCTGCTCTCGGCACTGCCAAGTGCGACCAGCAGGTCAAGGGTGGCGACAGCCTCATTAGCGTCCCTGTCAATGTCTGCGCTGCCATTCTTGGTGACGCCAAGTGCAAGCAACAGACTCCCGGCGCTGGTGGCCTCATCTCCGTTCCCGTTAACGCTTGCG